TCGCCTTGCTGAATATTTAAGCCAGTCACAGCAGAAGCATCGACACCATTGAGTAAGGTTTCGTGCAGTCATTGCTTTCTATGGACTGATACCACAGATATCGAGATGACATAACATCTTCAGATTTCCCTCTATTTTCTCCTCCCTAACATTTGCTTTACTTTATTCCTTCATTTTTCCATATTTTCTACTTATTTTCTTCGTCATTTCCTTTGTAATTTCCTTATTCCCCTCCACATCTGTTATTTTCGTTTCCTCCTTTGTATGCTTAGAAGTTTCTTTATGTAGTTTTCGTTTTTAATTGCATTTTTCCTTCTTCCTTTTCTCTGAATCTTTAGTTCTCTTCTTCCACTTCTTTTCCTTCCTCCTCTTCCTCTGCTTTCATCTTTCATACACAACTTAATTTTTTTCTTCTCCTACTATCATCATTTTGCTTCTGCTTATGCAGAAGTTCCTCTCTCTTTTTTCCTGTTCTCTCCTCTTCCTTGATCCTGATATTTCCTCCTATCATCACTCTTCTTCACTCTCCTATTCATTTTATTGACGGCACAAGCGTGCGTTCAGGGCTTGAAAGGGCTAATATGTAGGGAAAAGTGATTTCGGAGTTCAGTAATCTGAACAAAAGGAAAATATTTGTAACCGGATATCTGTTTATATTATTTTTTTGGAGACAACTTATTTTCTGTACGCAATTTATTAACTGAGTCTTAATTTCACATAAAATTTGGTAATGTTCGAAAGGATGTGTGGCCTCTGTCCACACTTCACATTCACTTCCCAGCGTCGTCACTACGAAATATTTCGGATAAGAGTGTGGCCAACGTTTTTACATATTCCTCGTTAGCTGGTACAGTGCTTTTTCTCCTCTTGAGCATAATAGCTTGAAGATAATACAGGACTTGCAATATTCTTTGAAAATTTTAATATTATATTCTACTTCAATGAATGGTGACTGGATGAAGAAACACGAGATAGCTTGAATACCTTTAGAGCAATATAAATAATTCTGCGTTATGGAAACGTTGTATGACTACACAGAGATATTGGGTTTTCGGACTTTATCCATCGTCCTGGTTTTTAAGATAACTAAGAAAAAACACGACGTTTCGGAAACTGGATCTGTTTCCGTCCTCAGGTGAGGTAAAACACCTATTCTGTTGGGTCCCTTAGAAAGAGGTAGCCTCAATCACTGGACCTACAGAATAGGTGTTTTACCTCACCTGAGGACAGAAACAGATCCAGTTTCCGAAAAGTCGTGTTTTTTCTTACTTATCTTAAAAACCAGGACGATGGATGAAGTCCGAGAACCCAATATCTCTGTGTGTTATACACCATCGTCAGAATCCTATAGTAACTTGTTGTATGACGACTATAACAACTCTTTTCTGCAAGGTATTTCTTGAGAGTCGCTTAGCTAGTGAAGCAATTATTTGCATTTTATGGATGGAATTATTACCGTGTTCAAAATAACCAGATACTGAGCCAGATGAATCCAGTTCACATTATCATAACACGTTTCTTTAATACTCGTTTCACTAATATCCTCCCACCAGTGCTTAGGTCTTCCATGTGGGCTCTTTCTTTTAAGTTCTCCGACAATAAACCTTTATCTACGTGTTTCATGCTATACTCATTTCACTGTTCTTGAGTTGATCACCCTAAGTGTAATTATTCTGTAATGAGCGAAAATTGTACCAGGAATATTCTTGGAATATTCCTGGAGGTAAAGGGCGGCCGGCGCGTAAGTCTGACAACCTCATCGCCATCTGTGAGCCGACTGGCTAGAAAATATGGGAGCCTCAACGTCCCACAACCCAATGGGCCTCCACGGCCTGTTACAGGGGACAGCTTTACTTTTACTTTACTCATTACGCAGTTTATTCTAGCCTTCTGTTACTTCCTCCGTCTTGGGTTCAGATACCCTCACGTGGTACAAGTATAATCTGCGAGTTAACGCATTTCATTTATATACATCGAAAGTAAGGTAACGGTGAAACGGAAGTCCAGAAATTATGCAGTTTGGGGTTACCGTAGCAACGAACTGTCGAGCTTTCAACGTTTTGCACAAAACTAAGTTTTATAATAGATCACGAAAGAGTAAGAAGTCTTGTGTTTTGTTATATTATATCTGTTATGTGGATATACATATATATTCCTGGTAGTCAATTCTGTTAAGAGGCTGAGTCGACCCCAGGACCATATTGCTGCTGGAAGGATTAGGTCAATTGAAAAATCCAGTGACCTCATCAGGAATCGAACCCGCGACCTCCCGGCTTGTAGCATAATGCCTCAACGAACTACTCTACCACGTGACAGAAATGACTACATTTAATGTTTGCTTTGGTGCAGAAGATCGTGATGAGGAGGGAGGTCTATTGCTCCCGCTCTGTAGTTGCAGCATTGCCCACTGTGATACAGACCAATGGGCGGGCAGCGGCGATTGGAGATAGTAGCAGTGCTGCCATAAGAAGTATTGTGATGATTACAGTCGAGGTACTTCTCTGGTTCAAGGCCTCATAATGTGGAGTTTTGATAATTTAATTTTTCTTAGTTTGTGCAGTGTTTGGCTTATGTACCCCATCTTGGTGCTGGTACAGGTGTCCGGAGATAGTGACTAGCTCTATCGATAGGGCCCAACTGAGTAGGTTTCACCTGAAGACGGAGACAGAATTCAGTCTCCGAAACGTTGCGTTTAGAAAAATAAACAGGACGGTTTTTAGATGAAGAAAAGGCGATGGATAATGTCCAGAAGCAGAATGTTTGTACCAAATGTATCGCATTTTGTTTGCAGTGTGCATGGGAATGCCGTGTAGTGTACGTAAGCGACAACGTGTCCGGGGAAGTACCAGTCGCGCGGTACACACGATGCGTGTATTCTGACAGTTATGACACAGTCAACATTATGGAATATCCGGAGCGTTGTGAACTACGCATTGAACACGTCTCGCAGCCTTTCCATCCTTCGTGCGCATGCGCCCCCTAGTACCAAAACTGAACTAAAACATTTCCAGCCGGTGTCCATGCCTGACGATGTCATGAATATTAACAAAGTAATACAGGAAACACGGTTTTATCGCGACACACGTAGACTAAACAGATAGATTGAGCGTGATACACGTAATTGACGGGGTTTGATTTGTCTCATTCTGGTCCGTCACACTATCAATTACAGAGTGGGTAATGTTCAGTCTAATGCGACATAACAAGTTCACAACACTTCAATCCTCATTCACCTTACATGTTTGGATTCAAAAGAAGCATCTTCAGAGGCGCACCACTACGATAAGGAAACACTGTCACATAAGATATTTTAAACAATATGCATTTAAGCTATGAATAATGCTCACTATATAAATTTTGATATTGTCATCATTGGTATTGACGTTTGTCTTAGGCACTCACAGTGGCTCTTCTTGAAGTGTAGATTTACTTATGATGAGGTTTCTTTTAAGTGTAATTGCTGGTTATTCTGACTGGGGTTTTGCACTGCACGCAATATGAAGTTCACTTTTCCATACAATTGCCTCCCAATGCGTTTAAAATTGTATTAAAATTTCTATGTAAAAATTAGTTATTATGTTAAAATATCTTGAGTCGACATTGGGTCATGTTGTTTTCCTCCTGACGGTGGGAGATGTCGTTTATTTCTCTTGATTTTATGTTCTTATTATTAGATTTAGATTAAATTATAGAAAAGCGACCTCTCTCAAGACTCATATTCGGTGGTGCTTAGTTTGAACCTCGGTGGGCATCGGCTTACATGACTGTTCCTGAGTCCCTCCAGGCAAGTGGCGGGGGTAGTACCGCGGTTAGGTTACGACCACTTCCTTCAAAATAATTTCCAGTTTCCCAGTCGTGTCATCCTACCATTTGACGCTGGATAATTACAACCTCGAGAAATAAAACCATCTTCATGGAATTTCGTAACTCATGCCTCTCGAGACATCTTTTGACTCGCACTTCTTAATTCTATACAATCGGAAATAAGCGTGGGGCGAAGGAGAAGACAGTAAGATTCAGTCGAAATGCAGTAGCCGTAGTAACAAATGTGAAGAGGTCGCGCCATAGCTCAATCGGTTAGTCGCTGGATTCCCATCGCGGCGGCTCGGGTTCGAGGCAGGGTCTGGTCATGCGAGATTTGTGGTGGACTAGGTGGCGCTGGGGCAGGTTTTCTCCGAGTACTTAGGTTTCCCCTGCCAGTCTTCATTCCACCAACTGCTCCAGAGTCACCATCATCTATCATCTGGGTCTGGTACAATAGGCCAGTAGTGGCCGCAGTACCAAGTGGACTGAGTCTCACCCCACTAAAAATAATAATATGCAGTAATCCTAGTCAAATAATCGTCTCTACACGCCAGGACACGTAGAGCGTCGTGTATGCAATAGTGCAAAAGGAAATTCCTGTATAAATATATTTGAATTTCACACCTTAATTCACTTAGTGGGGGGTGGAGTCCAACTGGGTCCACTCGGCACGGCGGCCACCGATTAGCCTATTGTACCTGCCCCGGGTGATTATGATGATGGAGAATTTGGTGGAATGAACATTGGCAAGGGAAACCGAAGTACTCGGAGAAAACTCGCCCCAGCGCCAATTTTGTCCACCACAAATCCCACTTGACCAGACCCGGGATCGAACCCGGGCCGCTGCGGTGGGAAGCCAGCGACTAACCGCTTGAGTATTTCACACCTTAGAGTCCTGAGAAATAAAGTATGGTCACCAGAGTCGGCAACAGGAATGGCTGTGCTGGTGAGGGCCACCACGACCACGACCACGACCACGGCGACGGCGACCACGACTACGACTACTACTACTACTACTACTACTACTACTACTACTACTACTACTACTACTACTACTACTACTACTACTACTACTACTACTACAGCGGTTGCTGATACCAACCAACAAATATAAAAACAAGTTTCTTCAATAAATTAATTTTTAATTACACAAATTCTTTTATTTAAGATAGGTTATCGTACAGTTATTGGTTTATTTATCTATGGTGTGTTTACGAAAACTTAAAACAGCGATAAGTCATTATGACTTCAATTCCTCTGTATGTAAAACTAAATGTTACGGTTGATGTGTAGAAAACCTTTTGTGAATAGCTTCATAAATCAACACAGTGCAACTGAAAACATGTCCCAGTATCAATATCATGAATGCAGCGCTTAAATGGTGAATCTGATACACAAAAAATGTGTCACTGACTTCTTGGCTATTGTCATTCCTACCAATGTTCTGAAAGTGAGCCTTGAAATATACATGAGCCCTATATCTTCCCACGAGACCGCCTTCCAGACATCGTCTCACGAATTTGTTGAATCCATCCCTGAACGGACTTCCTTTATGCAAGAGACCAGCGGACTGTAAAGAGATGGACGAGTCTCCAAGATGGCACAGCACTCTGCTGTAATCTACAACCCCGATCAGACTGGCAATATACCGCACATAAGTGTCAGCATTTATAAGGGCTACGTCACGTTCAGTGATCAGCCTTTTCGTGCACTCGACAAAGTCAATGCATAATACCCTGCGTGAGTCTGGAACAGCTACATGATAATCGTCATATTCCAGAAGAGTCAGAAAATGCTCTACTACTGGGTGGTACGCATAAACCAATTCCGAATTTACAACTTCCTGTACTGTTGTGATGGCCTTCCCATATCCCGGCTCTACAAGATACGAGACGAAGAAAGTTTGAAACACAGTGACCATGGCAAAAGAAAAACATACGTAGATCAGAAATAAACATCTGTGGTACCATGTTTTGGGCATTTTGGGGACTGAGACGGCCATTAAAATGGCCCATGCGTTATAAACGGATAGGGAAATGGAAGTGACAGTGCGCGGTTCCCTTGACTCAGAACGGTGTGACTTCTTTTCTAAACACCAAAATGTTGCACTCGTCAGTACGAACGCAAGTGCTAAGGTTAGCCAGACGGGGAGCGTGAAAATTGAGAACAGATTACTCATTCTGTGGACTCGAGAAGGACACGGAAGGAACAGTGAAAACGAGGCGGAATACTGTGGAATCGTATGCACGAACCCCGGAATGATTGCAATGGGTAATATCGGAACGAGGCCGATAAGAATATCAGACAAACCATCCATCTGATTAGCGAAACCTCTCACGAATGACTTTGGTGAATGTTCCATTTCTGGGCGAAGAAATACGCCAGTGAGGTTCATTTTCCTAATTGAAATTAGAAAGGCCTCAACCAATAAACCTCTTACATTGTACACGACGCTACCATCCTCCTGTGTATGGTTGTGCGTAAGAATCACAAATGGTTCGAATCCTATCGTCGACACCCTAACACGGCAACCCATAAAATCGTCTGGAATTTTAGGAGGAAACGGATCAGCATCACGATCAAATCTTCCGTTCTTTTGTAGGAGCCATTCGTCTATGATAATGACGTCAGTCACTTTCCCACAATTCTCCGCTGTATACGGAAAGAAAGTATACAGATTGAACGTTTTAATTCCTTCCATTTGCATGCGTGATGTAAAGTTCATTGTCGAAGGTTCGTGGGAACTAGGAATCAGGACTACGACGTTACATATCTTGCTGACCTCCCATAGAATCTCACAAATATGTCTAGCCACTGACATATGAGGCTCACTGTCATGACCGATTACTAAGACAAGGAATGTGGCCCGAGGATTCCACGAAGGGTTTTCTTGCTGATTTTGCATCTGAGCTCTAATTACGTCATAGATGCTTTCGTCTTGTTGCGGCCAGAGGAATATAATGTAGCTGTGAGGTATAACGACCTCTTCTAAGGTTTCATCCGCTAGTATATCTGATGTGAAGACGAGAATAGGCCATCGCGTCATATCGTTGAGTGCCCCGAGTAAAAAATTGACCATACGTTGGTTGTCCTCGCTCGGCGTGGCGTTTGTGGCTTGAAGATAGTTGCTTGGTGTTGAGACGGAGACAGGCCGTCCTGTAGGAAAGTGCCTCAGAGCTAGTGTGCGCACGCAGGATGCTGTGTGCAGCTGGACCTCCGTGAGCTGCTTGGGCTGGTAAGTTGGAGGGAGCCCAAACACAGCCTGCAGGACACCGTACATGAGCCACAGAAATGTCCACATATTCATTTTGTCGATTGACAGCAGTGTTTGATCTGAAATTGAACAAGACATTTCGGCAATTTTTTCTGTAATGTCCATGTTTCTAGGCTCTTAAATATCCTTCTCAAGGATCTACTGAAATGGCTGTGTCCGTCTTCCTGCACACAAGAAACAAGTTGAGAGTTGGCGGACCGATTTGCATGCCGTGTAATGTTACGAGTTTTATGCTTATTATCAGACATGAATAACGAACAGTGGCATGATAAGCTAAGCGCTTTGTTCCTGCGGTTGTACACTTTCTGAGATTATTAACAACAGACAACGGCACTCTATTTTTTTTACGATTTGTTGTTTTATATTCAGTTAGGAAACCTAGTTAATGACTCCTTAATGCTAAAACGTCAAATGCCTTTTGTCGTTATGGAACTGTATACAGCGATTTTGGATAGATTGGCAATGTCGTTCTAAAACGTTCAATTTGATATATAGGTGACATAAAGTGTTGAGGTTTGAACCTGCCGAAAGATGTTGTATTGTGTTCTTGTGGGCTTTGATAGCTTACAGTCTCATATGCCAACGATTCTGTGGAACCTTGGGCCTTCATCTTTGGCGTAGCTGAAGTTTATGACAGGGTATATTCTATTGGATGCCGGTCACGGTAGCCGAGCGGTCTAAGGCATGCACTGTCTTCGCTCGCTCGGAAGCCGGGATCGTGGCTTCGAATCCCACTCAGGGCATGGATGTTTGTGTGCGTTTTTCTGTGTTTGTCTACAGGTAGAGGCCTTGCGACTAGCTGATCACGCGCCCAGGGAGTCCTACCGTATGTGTAAGATCTAGAAAAACCGAAGTGAACGGAGAAGTTCATGGAGGTAGGCCTATGTCCACTGGGGTTGTAGTGCTAATGAAAAAAAAATTCTATTGGATGCTTACGACCGTTTCGGAGAAATCTATATATATCTGCCTGCCTGCCTGCCTGCTTGCCTGCCTCCCCGCCCGCCCAACCGTCCGTCCATATATATCTGCCTGCCTGTTCAATTTATTTTTTTATTTATTCCCACTGCGACCTGTTTGGCGTGATTACCGTAATTAAATGGTTGTTCTGTGAATGATGTACGTTGCTCTGATAATATGTTGCCCTTTGTTCGTGTGTGTGAGTTTGTTTATATTGCAACTCTGCTCTTGCTTATTTTTAAGTGATTTTTGAGCTCTTGAGCCGGGAACTAAACGAGGAAGGATCTGGTCTGAATTCTCCACATCTGTCAATCCTGCAGCTCCGTTCTCCTTACCTTTCGTGCGGCGATGTTGGCAAATGGAAACACTTCTCTTGCTCTGCGACTTCTAATGTAGCTTTATGACTTAACGTTTGTAGTTCTACAATCGTAGAGAGGTGTTCTGGTGCATGTTGAAAGAGGTGAGAGCATGTTTCGAACGTAGACTCTGTAATGCTCTGAACACAATGCACGCTGTTCGTAAAGGCACACTTCTGGGTTTTGTGTGCCGTGTGCAGTGTCACTGAATATTCCTGCCCAGTCTGACGAATTTACGTTTGCTGAAATCTTGTATCTGCTCGTTGCCAGCGATTTGTAGAATGGGAGCGATCCTTTTGATGTTACGTGGCACGATATATGTTAGTTCAGTTGACTTCACTTCTAACCTGCGCTCATTTTCTTAAGGACAAAAGGCTGCTGACGGGCTGTCAGACTTGTTCTCTGTGTGTCCGTCCTTTCCCACGAATTCTGTAAGAACGTTACGCCGTTGGTTGCTACTCAGACGCTCCATTTTTTAACTTCATGAATTTTAAATGCGGCAGTATTGAACAGATAAATTTCGCAGATAAATGTGTCTAATGGAAAACCAATATTCTGGCTTTACGTGAAATATAATTAGTGTAATATTACATGAGAAGAAACAGCTGCGTTTCTCTCATTGGTGTGATTGGTTTGGGTCCGTATCACAGTTGGTAAATATGAGATAGTATAAACAGAGCAAGCCATTCACAGTGGCCGCGCGGTCTAAGGCATCAACCGACTTCGCATGCTCGAACACAGGGGTCGTGGGTTCGAATCCAACTTAAAGCATGTGTATCTGTTTGTATTGAGTAGCGGCCTTGCGACGTGCTTATCCTCCGTCCAGTGAGTCCTACCGACTGTCTAAAATTAAGAAACTGAAGTGAAACGAAGCGTTTCACGGATGTCCTACGCTCCAAGTGGGAGTAACAAGAATAGAAGATGACTGCTATAGTAATTATAGCTTTATCATCTGCACAAAATAAATTGTGCATATAACATTTGCGCACATTTGACATGTGGAAGTTTTTCATCAAAATTTCTAACCTTATCAATCAATAATATCTAGGCTTATCTAAGGCCTAAATATGTGGGACAAATAATTTCAGCGACGTTTTTGAAGAGGACCTGGGAGACTTCCACGAAACCTTCTGGGGAATACCATTTCTCAACCACACTGCTCCACAAAACGTCTTTTTTTACGTGAGTTCATTGTCACGTGATACCTGCAGAAGTTCGATACTGAAAACTACATATGAAAATGAAAGTAGATTTATGTCCTTTTTAACAATGTCGTTCCATAACAAAGTCTTGTTTGCATAAGTAAGTAAATGCAATTTTCCACATATCCCAGTAACTGTGCCCTGAGCACTGTTGAAAATCCAGATGCGAAACCCATGGGGATTTACATTTCATTATTCCCATCTCGAGGTGACAGTAGGAAACCTCATGGACCGGCGTCGGTAGTTCTCTGTACAACATTGTGCAGTACGGACTTGGAATACTTTTTTCATTATATCGCTCGAATTTTGACACGAACATGTTATTAAATATTGAATTCCATGTACCGCCATTAAAGCAAGGAGACAGAAACCACGCCTTTCTCTTGTTCCGTAATTTCTCATGGTCACGATATGGCTTGACTGTGTACACAATAGCGGCTATTGCAAAATACCCATTTCTTGTTTGTTAATTAGATTAAGCTCTGAATATGATTCTCAAGTTCCCCTGACGCACTGCAGGAGAGTTACAGAGACGCGGTAAAGACGTATGTTTCTTAAATTCTTAATTACTCAGTTTGTTATTGTGATATTTGTTAGCCAGTTCTCCATCTGTACCACGTTCATATGTGCTCATAAAAGCGGTGTTTGTTTGTTATTTGGGGTAAATAGTATTTTGCCTTAGGGACTCATCACAAACTGGTCATTTTGAACGACGCACGGCGGCGAATACTCACGTGGGGACCATTTAAATGTTGAAGTGGTTTATTGAGTTTCAGGAAACGTATGAACGCTGTGCCATCAAAGCGTATCGTGTTAGTTTCACGCCCCGACCACTTGATCCCTTGGATGGAGCCCTCGTTCGTCCCTCGAATCTGTTGGTTGGGCCCAGAAACTTTGTGAAAGCTGAGGAGATGGGAAGGGACAAATCCTGCCTCTATTGAATACCAAGCGCCGGGCCTTGACTTCTCACTCTCACTTACTCATGGAGCCGAGCCCTTCTTGAGAAGCCGGCAATTGTGCGGCTACTGAAGAACTTCCCACCATTTTATGGAACCAGAAGGTTCTTTACCGTGTTCACAACACGCCTCCATTCGACCCTACCCTCAGCCAGATCGGTCCGATTCATATCCTATCCTATCTCCCGAAGATCCATTTTAATATTGTCCACCCCCCAACATCTTGGTCTTCCTAGTGATCTAGTTCCTTCTGACTTTCCCACCAAAATTTTATACGCATTCCCCTTCTCCCCCATTCATGCAACATGTCCTGTCCATCTCATCCTCCTTTGCTTGAACATTCTAATTATACTTGGAGAAGAGTATAAGTTACGAAGCTCCTCCTTATGCAGTTTTCTCCAACCTCCCGTCACTTAATGTCTCTTCGGTCCAAATATTCTCTTCAGCAACAGAGACCAATTTTCACAACCATACAGAAGATAAGCAAAATTATACTTTTGTATATTTTGATTTTTCTGTTTGTAGACAGCAGACCATAAGACAGAAATTCTGGACTGAAAGGTAGCAAGCATTATCCACTTCAGTGTCCTCTTAATTTCTTCCTGGATCACTTTTTGATTTGATATCGTCGTTCCCAAATATGTTAAATGTGCCACGCCTTGGTTTCTCACGCTGTTGAATAATCAGTATGTCATCCACTGAAGGGTAGATTGTAAATGCGACACGAAATATCTGCTCAGCGCTGGACATCGGGGATAAATTTTCATAAGGGAATGAAGTTAACAAATATTCTGCATTGACTGTTCTTTATTGTGCATATATTTTCCTGCCGTAAAACGTGATGCGAACACGAAGACTTTAAATAATCAGGCTCTAGTATGAACATTTACTTCTATTCAGGCAATTAAGTTATGGCCGAATTCATGTTGTGTTCGTAGAGAAATCTCCGAAGTTCAGAATCGATTCAGTTATGTTTCGTCTCTTATGACTGATACATGTATCTAAGAGATAATTCAGTTCAATTCAATTCTTTCAATTCAATTCAGTTCTATTCTTTATTATTAATGTGCCGAGTCAACAGCCGCAAGGCCAATTACAGACACAGCACAGTGCAGATGAATTACGTTATAGACAAACTTATTAAAAGTCAAATACAAATTACAAGTAAGTACTTGGAAGAAATAATAATGAATAAAAGTAAAAGTAAACAAACAAATAGCTGATAATTATGACAGTAATAATAATTTCATTATCATTAAACTAAGTGGTATTACGAATTGAGGAATGAAACATAAATATTTAATTAAGAAATGAATAGTATAGATTTTCAGAGGATAATAATAATATACGTAATTCATTTTGTTTTACTGGACATGCAAATAATAAAAATACTAACAGTTATACTATATTTAAAATTTGTTTGGGTAGAACATTCCTGGCTCCGAATACGTCAACATCCCTGCATATAGCATTAGCAGCTGCTGCGCATCTAGCAGAGGGACAATTTTTAAATAAGGAGCAAACATTGAACAATGCAAAATCTCTGATATACCGAGCAGGAACTCGGAGACCAACAATTTCCAGGACAGAAGGGCAGAATTTAGAGCCAAAATAAACTTGAATAAGAAAGAGGGCATCAAGGCGATGTCTCCTAGTACATAAAGTATGTAATTTTAACTCCTCAAGAGCAAGAGAATAATTGTAATGAACTTGAGGAAAGAAACGTTTAAAACAAAGGGCCGCAAACCTCTGCTGGATGCGTTCCAGCAATAATAATAATAATAATAATAATCTTTTTAATTACCACAAGTATTTGTGTCTGTGTAGGTAGATTTTGAAAATTGTTATATACCTGTTTTGCGTTAAATAATTTAGATATAGTTAATATTTTAATATCTTTATGACATGTTTGAGTTTTGACGGATATGGATTCCAAATCGCTTAGCTGTCTGTTCAACTTGGATTGAGGAAAGGTACTAAAATTATTGTTTCTAAAGAAAATGTATTTTTCAGTTTTCCTATTCTTATTATAAAAATCGTTTTTCAAATGTTGGTTGTATGTTTATTATTATTATGATGAAAATCATTATTTATTTTGACTTCAAGGGGGTTTTTACTAGGAGGCAGTTGTAATACAACACGACACAACGCACAAAATAGCCTGTCACGATCGAACAAAGTAAAACTCATAAAACTACACAACAATAATAAAAACTATACAGTGTGTTTCACAACTTTAGGGAATGACTGTAGGATATGATTTTCTAGGTCTTTGTGATCAAAAAAGTTCATATAAACACGTGTCCGATTTTTAGACGGTTACGGAGTTATGACCGTTTTTTCATTCCCGTACACGCCCTCGTGTAAACCGCGTCTATCATCTGGCGGGTCGCTATTGTTAGCCAGCTACAGACAGAGCATTCTCGTTATCATCACACTTGAGAGGTACCTAAGGCGTGTTGGGTTGGTATGTCCGGCCACGGCTAGTGTGGCGGCTACTGGTGTTCAGAACAGTTCTCATCTCGGTGCGTCTGTTAGGTTCACGATGTCATTTACATTTTCATTTGAGTAGTATGCAGATATGATTTATGTGTACGGGTTTTGTGACGGTAACTCAGTTCTTGCCGTAGCTGAATATCAGCAACGGTTTCCGAATCGTAGAATACCGAGCCGGAGAGTGTTTACTGGAGTTTACCAGGCATTGCGAGATACCGGTAGACTTCCCGGCGTTCGTATTGCAGCTGAGCGTGGTGTTAATGAAGGCGTCAATGAAGAAGGCATTGTTCGTATGGTACACAGCAGTCCACTTACGAGTACGCGAAGAATTGCCAGCCAGGTCTCCAGACTTAAGCCAACTGGATTATTGTGTGTGGGGATGGATGAAAGAACTGGTTTACAATGTGAAGGTGGCAACGCGAGATGCTTTGCTCGGTCGCATTCTGGACGCCGCTGACCACATAAGAAACAGCCAGCTGAGGCTGCTACGTGCTACCCGCGCGGTTCACAACCGAGGGGCAGCCTGTGATGCGGCCGGCGGTGGCATTTTTGAAAATCAACTTTAAGCACCAATCAATTCAAATTAAAGGTAATTTCACGAAGGTAAATTTACATTCATACTTTAAATGTATCATGTATTATGCTGGTTTATTTTGTTCCGTTTATTGTCAGTAATCG